GCACCAGCTAAAACTGGCTTTTGCGGTCAGATCCGTTCCATAAATACATAGATCTGGCCTTCCCAAGCTTATTTGTCACGTAAAGTCTCAGTCTTGGTTGCCATGCAATGCATACAAGGCTTATTTTGAAGAAACAACCTTTAATATGGCAAGTATAACTTCTAACTCAAAAGGGTGGGCATAAAGCTTGTCATAAGGGGTCTCCTGGACCTGCTAAAGTCCAGATCTAGGTTCCATGTCTCCATAGGACCTCTCATACTTCTTATTCAAGCCAAGAAAGGCAAGAAGAAACCCTAGATTTGGCCCACCAACACAAAACACGAAGATTGGCTCAGAAAGTTACCTCAAGAAGACCCCCTTGATGAAATAGCAACAGATCTAAGCTCCCCAACACTTCAAGCTTGCTCCTCTCCCTCCTTTCCTTGCACTATCACACAAAATGAAGAACAAAAGGCCTTCAAACACACACACAAGGGCTTACAGACGTATGGAGGCTCTTAGGGTTCAAGGTGGCCGCATATGAGGGCCATAAGGTCCTTTAAATAGAGCTTAGGACCGGGGAATTAGGGTTTCATTAAACAGTGCGGACTCGTCGAGTCCATCCCTTGGACTCGTCGAGTCCGGACGCGAACCCCCGCTAAAAACCGCGACCCGACTCGGCGAGTTCAACCACCGACTCGCCGAGTCCCCTCACAGAATGTCAAAAATATAAAAGGAATGAAGATACTTGGAAATCCGGGCTGTTACAAATATCCCCCACTAGAATAAGACTTCGCCCTCGAAGTCCGCTTAGGCAAAAAGCTCCGGATGCTGCTCCCGCATCTCCCGTTCCGGCTCCCAGGTCATCTCTGATCCCTTCCGATGCTGCCACTGAACCAATACCAGGGGCACCTCCTTGTTTCTCAAAACCTTGATCTTCCGATCCTTGACGGCTACAGGTCTTTCAGCATAGTTCAGACTTGCATCCACCTGAATATCCCCTAATGGAACCACCGCTGATTCGTCGGCTATACATTTCCGCAGTTGCGACACATGGAAGGTGTCGTGAATCTGTCCCAACTCTGCTGGCAAGTCTAAACGGTAGGCTACTCGACCTACCTTTGCGATCACACGGAAAGGACCAATATACCGGGGCCCCAACTTGCCCCTCTTCCTGAACCGAATCACTCCTTTCCAAGGAGAGACCTTCAGGAGCACGAGATCACCAAACTGGAACTCAAGCTCGGACCGTCGCCTGTCTGCATAACTCTTCTGCCGGCTCTGAGCGGTCAGCAACCTTTGCCTAACCATCTGGATTTGCTCGGTCGTCTGAAGCACGATCTCCGTGCTACCCATAACCTGCTGTCCCACCTCACCCCAACAGATGGGGGTGCGACACCTCCGCCCATACAACAACTCAAAGGGCGGCATACCAATGCTCGAATGATGGCTGTTGTTATACGAGAACTCTGCTAAAGGTAGATAGGTATCCCAGCACCCTCCGAAATCCAACACACATGCCCGAAGCATGTCCTCGAGTGTCTGAATGGTCAGCTCACTCTGGCCGTCTGTCTGAGGATGATATGCCGTACTGAAATGTAACCTGGTACCTAACTCTTCATGGAATTTCTTCCAGAACCTGGAAGTGAAACGCACGTCGCGGTCCGAAATAATCGAGATTGGCACCCCGTGCCGAGATACTACTTCCCTCACATATAACTCATCCAACTTCTCCGCAGAAGAGCTCTCACTAATAGCTAGAAAATGAGCGCTCTTGGTTAGTCGATCCACAATTACCCAAATCGCATCGACTCCTCTCGCCGTTCGCGGTAATTTGGTAATGAAATCCATAGAGATTTGTTCCCACTTCCATTCGGGAATCTCCAGCGGTTGCAGCTTACCGTGCGGTCGCTGGTGTTCGGCCTTGACCTGCCGGCAAGTCAAGCACCTCTCGACGAACCAAGCGACATCCCTTTTCATACATGGCCACCAGTACTCCTTCTTGAGATCCAAATACATTTTCGTAGCACCAGGGTGAATCGAGAGTTTCGATCGATGTGCCTCCTCCATCAAAATAGTGCGCGCACCGCCCACAAACGGCACCCAAATCCGCCCCTGAAAAGTCATAAGCCCCCGACCCTCGAATAATGTCCAGAATCGGGGTCAAAACCGTCAACCTCATACAAATGTCTCGGATCGGTGCGCTATCCGCCCTACGGCTCAATGCGTCGGCTACCACATTAGCCTTGCCCGGGTGGTACAGGATCTCACAATCGTAATCCTTCACCACATCCAACCACCTCCTCTGACGCATATTCAGATTTGGCTGATCCATCAAATATTTCAAGCTCTTATGGTCCGTGTAAATCGTACACCGAACCCCGTACAAATAGTGTCGCCAGATTTTGAGGGCAAACACCACCGCCCCCAATTCCAGGTCGTGCGTGGATATCTCGACTCATGAGGCTTCAACTGCCTCGAAGCGTATGCTATCACATGACCCCTCTGCATAAGTACCGCCCCTAAACCCGATATAGAGGCATCACAATATACCACAAAATCCTCCATCCCTTCCGGGAGTGCAAGCACTGGAGCCTCGCACAATTTCTGACGAAGCGTCTCAAACGAAGACTGCTGCTCCGGTCCCCATGAAAACGCGACACCCTTCCGGGTCATCCTAGTAAGTGGCACAGCGATCTTGGAGAAATCCTTAATAAATCTGCGGTAATATCCAGCCAAACCTAGAAAACTCCTGATCTCGGTGGGCGATCTCGGCACCTCCCACCTCAACACCGCCTCAATCTTGGCCGGTCGACCAATATCCCCTTCTGGTTCACAAGATGCCCGAGGAATTGGACCTCTCGCAACCAGAAATCACACTTTGAGAACTTGGCATACAGCCTCTCCGATCTCAAAACCCGAAGAATCTCCCGCAAATGCTCCTCATGCTGGTCCCTAGTCCTCGAATATACCAAAATGTCATCGATGAATACGATCACTGACCGATACAGCATCGGTCGGCATACCCTGTTCATGAGATCCATGAACGCAGCCGGGGCATTGGTGAGCCCAAAATGCATCACTACAAACTCATAATGTCCATAACGAGTTCTGAAGGCAGTCTTTTGGATATCCTCCTCACGAACCCTCATATGATGATATCCCGACCTCAAGTCAATCTTGGAAAACCAAGATGCCCCCTGCAACTGATCGAACAGATCGTCGATCCTAGGTAACGGGTATCGGTTCTTAATCGTCAACTTTAACTCCCGATAATCGATACACATCCATCGATGTGAACCATCCTTCTTTTTGACAAACAAAATCGGCGCTCCCAAGGCGAGCTACTGGGTCGAATGAATCCCTTCCCAACAGCTCCTGAAGCTGCGAGGAAGTTCCTGCATTTCCGGTGGAGCGAGACGGTTAAGGCGCCTTGGCGATGGGGTCGCCCCGGAACCAAATCGATACGAAACTCCACTTGCCTCTCCGGAGGCACGCCTGGTAACTCCTCGGGGAACACATCCGCAAACTCGCATACAACCGGAACGTCATCAATCGAATTGGGCCTCTCCGTGTCACACGAGTATCCATCACATAAGCTATGAATCCATCACAACCCTGCTGCAGACTCTGCCTTGCCCTGCCGCTGAACAAAACGCTGACCCACACCGGGTCCCTTCGCCAAAACCGTGAGCACTCCCCCACTAGGGTCTCGAATCATCACCAGCTGTCTCTCGCA